ATCATCGCCTACCAACCAACAAGGTCGGTTTGTAATTTGTATTGAAGCACTGGTTTAAAACAAAAACGCTATAAAGTACGCTTCCCAGTGACTGTTACAATATGGTAATTATGAGAACCTAATATCTGCGTAATTTATCTTTTATTACAGTTTATTTCTCATAAGATTTCCTTTTCTTTTCTTCCTACGCACATTAACTTACACGAAATGTGTAATATCACCTCGTAATATCTTTGACATTGTTCAAATTAAGCTACTAGAAAGTTACATATTACGTTGCATATTTTAAAACAATATCTGTGAAAATTTAGCGAGAGCTTTATAATTTTGGATATAATTTTTTTAAACAATTTCTAAACTAACACGTATAAGAGGAGTAATCTCTATACATTCCCAGTTTCAATGAATTTAGCTCCATTTGAGACTAGCCGCCTAATCCAGACAGACAGGCAGGTAAGAATTTTGTAAATTATCGTATTCGTAATTTTAACTAAAGTAATTCATCATCATCAATAAATCCCATTAAAGTCCACTACTGAACATACGCCTCCCCCATAGATTGCTAAGGGGATTAATAAGGGGGGAGGGAAGAGATATATGACAAATTTTCGGCTACTTACACCACTCAGTTCCAAAGGGAGGACTAGTGTGTTTTACGTCCTGATTTCATAGTAAACAAAGACCTGTGTAATAATATCCGTAAAAAAAGTTATATTCAATGTGTGCAAAATTAAAATAAAGTTACAGCCTATATACGTCCCACTGCTGGGCACAGGCCTCCTCTCATTTCTGTGAGGGTTTTATGGCAAGGAATAGTCCGCCGCGCTGCCCCAAGGCGTGTTGGCGAACTTCACATGTCTTCGAAATATTTTTTTTCTTATTTCGCAGACATGCAGGTTTCCTCACGATGTTTTCCTTCACCGACGAGTACGTGGTAAATCAGCACTTAAAATTGCAATTAACAATTTCATTGTTGCCAACGGGGATCGAACCCGGTTTGCTCGCGTATTGTGAAATTTACAGCGCGCGCTAACCATCTGAGCTACCACGGCTCATTCAATGTCAATGTGTGTACTACTATATATATTCGCGTGAATAAATAAAATCGTTATCATAAGGGTATTTTTTCTACGGCAATACTACATTCATTGGTCATTCTTCCGTAGCGTCTGCTTTGGTCGTCGGTAGAAAAAGATCTCTCACCAGGCAAGATATTCAGTTCGAGGAATTGCTCACGCTCCGATTAGCGGATTAAGCTCGTGTATAATATATGCGGACTTTTTATCGATTCGTATGCGTAATTGTGGCGAGGTAGCAAGCAACACCACCATGCAGCCATATTGTGTGGTGATGGCGTAAGTAAACGCATCGTAAAACTGAATAGACAAATGAACAAGTAGAGCTATGCTACAGCTATATTAGTAGTATAGTTGTAGTACGAATGGGTCGGCTCGACCGGGTTAGGACCACGCTCTCACAGAATACCAGCGTAAAATAGCAGCTTAACGCTGTTGTGTTTAGTAGAGTTCGTTCTGTGGGAGTGTAGAGAACCGGAGACCCTTTTTACTAGATACGAAGCATTCCATCTTAGTCTACGCGGGTAACAACGCATCTGCATTTTGATTCGTAATCGAGGATAGATGTAGATGTCTATGGGCCACAGCATCCACATACCATCAGGTGGACTGTGTGCTCATGTTGTACTTATCCTATTAAAAAGTCCACCTGTTGGTAAGTGGCTACAGAACCCTTGGAAACTAAAAAGGCTACATATTCGATGTCATCTCTAGGGACTAAGATGGAAAGCATCACAGCATGTCATTATATCGGCTTTCTACAGACCTGAACACAGCAGTGCAATCATTGCTATTTGACCTTATATCGTCCTATGTGTGTGAGTAGACTGTGGGAATATATTAGGATGATTATATGTTATCTTGTAGATAGCAACATCTTACATGCTAAATGTTAAACACCCAAGCCAGCAAATTGCACCAAGCAAAGCTATATGACGCTTGGGACTGTGATCACCACTTGCTAAAAGTGGAGAGAAAGACAAGTCTTCACTGTGCGGGAAGTTCGTATCCAGGACTGTTTATGGATCGATGAAAGTGAAAAACTAGTGTCAAGTTACTTGTTTGGTTCTATTATTTAGGCAGAATTAATGCAGGACGACTTATCGACTTTGACTCATCATTTACCGTCAAATAGTATAGTAGTCTATGATAGCATATTAAAAGTTTGTACTTCATAATATAGTATTATTTATTCATTTATTTGAGACTATTTTTCTAAAAATCACCGCTAGTTCTGATGCTTTAGGTTTTATAAGACAAATTTTAGGGTAAAAATATCGCTAATGAGAAGATCCTTGTATTGAAAAAAAAAATTAAAAAATGCAGTGGCCCATAGACACCTATTTTCGTTTAAGAATCAAAATGCAGATGCGTGTTCACCCCCGAGAACGAAGATAGAATTCCTCGTTACCAGTAGAGGAGTGCTGAGTATTAGTAGTATTAAGTTTTGAGCATTTTGAATACTTTTTAAGTCATTAGCTGGATATACTTAGGTTCTTCCTAAAAACTTTTGCAGTAAGATAGAGGTGACACGAACTTTATTTTAACGTTCGACGTTTGACTTCGCATTGTTATCAATTATATGCCGATGCATGTTATAATAATTACTTTTCTTAGGTTACACAATATTATCATAATAAAAATGATTTATGAATACATAGTAAAATTAGTAGTGTTTCTCACAATCACGCTGTAGTAGGGTGTGCTTGTAGTTATTATTTCGAGAAAAATTGTTCCTCCACACTCCTCTACGCCTCTCAATTTTTGTATTCACAAATAGTATTTGAAAAGACCGACTGTGATATAATTTCACACTGGATGATAATCGTCTAAACTAAGAACTTGTTACATTTTTTACAGTTGAGTTGACATTCTGTGTCATTGACCGCTGATGCGCGGTCGGCTTGGACAAAGAAGCGACATTGTAACGTCTAGTGCATTCATTGCGGTTGCAGATGAGGAATAACACCGAGATATAACACTAAATGATATTAAGTAAAAAATTACACATCGATGTCACATCATAATTTGTGTGATAGCACGCCAAGTCTCAAAAAGCCCTTTTCATGGTTTTTAGTGCACATAATTTGATTAAATTGCGTGGCAGATTAAAAGGTAAAAGTAAAGCAAAAGTTAAAGGTAACTTAACTGTTCAAAATAATAAAAAAAATAATGTAACAAAAAATCTTTTATTTCAGACCTAGATCCCATATATTATATTATAATAATGTATATTCAAAGTCCATAATTATGATATATTTAGAGTATATTTACACGTCAGCTATCAGTATTTTAGGGGGTAATTTTTGGATATAATTTCATATAAAATTTGACATAATTAATAAATTCTACATAAATACACAAAAATTATAAGAATTTGGTATGTAACATTTATAATTGACATTATATAATGATTGACAAATGAATATTATTGATGTTTGCCATTGAGCTATAATAATAATCTTACATTGGCATATAATAATCATATCATAATCAATTAAATAGTATTAAATTTATGTATTGCTAAAATTTTGATAAATATTGCTGTTTTAGTTACTTAACTATTTATATTTGCACGCCACTAAAGTAAAATATGCAGAACTAAATACATTTGAGAACCATTGTACAAGCATATAATGTCCTCCAGACCGAATTTCGGCCACGGCGGCCTGCCTCAGTGGAGGCTAGCCATCGGCGCAGGACAGGATTATAGTGCCCAAGTGTATGCGCAAGCACAGGTGCACTCTCTATTCCCTCACTCTCATAATCCGATGGGACAGTAAACCGACACGACTGGGGAGAGATCAGGCTCAGGACCAACGGCTTTACGTGCTTTCCGAGGCACGGGGTTGACACACCGCCAACTTCCTGATTCCGGGCAACTACTGAGAATTTCTTGACGGAAAAACTCAATAATTAGTATTTTTTTGGCCCGACCCGGGATTCGAACCCAGGACCTCATGATCAGCAGTTCTACTACTACTAGACCAACGAGGCAGTACAAGCATATACTTGCAAATAAGAATTAATTATTTATTATTTATTTATTAGCTAGCGATCCTCGGCCACGGGTCTGGATCTCAACAGCAGCGCCACATACCGGGTCCAATTGTGAATCTAAATCTAAACCTAAACCTCTCTAACGCACACAACAATTTCGATCAAAATCGTTTAAGCCGTTTTCTAGTTTTAGCGAGACAAACGGACAGCAATTGATTTATATATATATATATATATATATATATATATATATATATATATATATAAAGTTACAACCCATATATGTCCCACTGCTGGGCACAGGGTAGGCCTCTGATTTCTGAGAAGGTTTTAGGGCAAGGAAGTGTCCGCCACGCTGCCCCAATGCATTTTGACGAACTTCACATGTCTTCGAAATATTTTTTTTTCTTATTCCCCGGAGATGCAGGTTTCCTCACGATGTTTTCCTTCACCGCCGAGCACGTGGTAAATCAGCACTTAAAATTGCAATTAACAATTTCATTGGTGCCGGCGGGGATCGAACCCGATTTATAAGTAATGAAAATTGATAAACGTAATTATCTAGTTTGTTAAAATCGCATAGAAGATTGAGGTACAAAAATAAACAATTTTTAAGCTTTGTTTTAAATTGTTGATAGAATCGAACGTTAAAGAGCAATTTCTGATTTTCTGATAGATTATTTTTAACAAATTGATCTGATTAAAGATTGCACCGGTTACTGATAATAGTTTATGGCGTTTAATTTCTGTTGATAATACTTTTCAAATGCTTATCGTTACATAAATTGTAAATTAATTGAATAAAACTAAATTTACGGATTCTATCGCGTTTATTTAACTGATTTTACTTATTTTTAATTCCCGACGTTTCGGGTGCTTTACAGCAACCATGGTCATGGGGGGACTGGTTGCTGTAAAGCACCCGAAACGTCGGGAATTAAAAATAAGTAAAATCAGTTAAATAAACGCGATAGAATCCGTAAATTCAGTTTTATTCAATGTGTAGTGTTCGCGTAAATTTAAGAAATCATTATTGTAAATTAATTTTAAATTATACATTTCAAAAACCCCCGAAATAAAAAGAGCTGATGATCTTCAAACGGCTGAACAGATTTTCGTGAAACATAGCTAAGAACACTTTCAATTAAGACGTCCTTCAAACGAAAAAAAAAATTAATCAAAGTCAGTTCACCCGTCCACGAGCTATGATGCCACGGACAGACACACAGATAAACAGTTACAGGTAACAAACATATAATCAGGTACTTACATATGAAATTGCCGTTTTGTACGGAAGGAATATAAAGTAACTTTTTTTGTAAAATATATTTAGTTAATCAAAGTATGCACCGTTGTTATCTATGCACTTTTGCCATCTCATAGGTAGTTCTTTGATCCCTTTACTAAAAAAACCATGGAGGCGAGAATCAATAAACTTTGAAGGCGGTTTGGACTGCCGCATCGAAGTTGAATTTTTTTCCTTCTAAGAAGTTGTCCGAATTCCGGAAAAATCTGTTTGAGCAAGGGGAGTACGGCGGATGTCGCAGACATTCCAACTGTAGTTCATCTAACTTAGTGGTTGTTTGTTGTGCAGTGTGTGGTCTTGCGTTGTCGTGAAGCAGCAGTGGCCTAGAGCGATTGACCAATCTCGGTTGTTTAGCAGATAGTTCTTCCTTCATAGTTTGCAGTTGATGACAATGAATATTTGCCGTAATCGTTTGGCCAGATTTTAGAAAGCTGTAGTGAACGACACCGGCGGTGGACTAGTAGTCCACCAAGAACTCACAAGTAACTTTTTCTGAGTCAATTTTTGTTTACGGCAGGATTTGGCTAGGTCTCCAGGGTTTACAAAACTCAAATGTACCAGCTAAATGAATTTATAAATTTGAATTTGGAATTCTTAACCAAAGAGGACATATTTCAGATCAAAGTGGTCAGTACGACAAAATAAGGATAATGTCATATGTAAGGACCCAATATAACACCACACTGTTTCAGTCGGGGATTAATAAAAATGATCTGTTCTCTGTCTCTCTCAGATCTGTCAAGTAGGCTTCCCTCAAAGTATGCCACAAAGCACGATACTCAGCCGCCTGCATACATCGATTTTCTGCATCTCTTACCACTTTGCTTACCGATACGAGGCAACCATTGGAGAATTATTTTTTATTCCCCATCGGATGTCAGCTTTTTGAGCTATATGGCCAGTCCGTGGCTACTTCAGCTTCAGCGGTTGTTCTCTTGGGCTATGTCGCTAGGTTCTACTATGTCTATCAGAATTTGTAAAAATGCCTACAACTGATGGGTATATGTAATTATTATCTTATGTTATTGTAAAATAGCATAGCAAATCTACATTTGTGTTTTTCCTAACACAGTTTTAACGAAAAATGTGGCGAACAACGTATTGCCGTTCTCTTGACATTAGATCAGTCCTTGAATTCAAGTAGACATTATACTAAAAGCAGCCTTTCGACGTCCTATTGAACAATTGTGCCTGACAATGATAACAATGTATACCTGCTACCGCAATTGTTTTAACGTTAAAACGTATATACACGAAAATTTTGGATTATTAGCCGATTTCAAAAAAATATAAGGAGTTTCTTAGTACGATTGTATGTCTTTGTATGTATGTTACGCTATATCCTCGTCAATTGGAAACCGATTTTCTTGAATCTTTTTTTATTAAATGGGTTAATATATGTCACATATAAGTTTGGAGAAAATTTTCCACCCCTAAAGGTGGTAAAATAGGGGATGAAATTTTTAATGGATATATTTAGACGAAATTAATATCGTGATATTCCTTAGTGCAATCAAAAGAATAAAAAAATTAACTTTTAATGCAAAGTAAACGCTGGCTTCAAGTAAAATCAGAAAAATAATATAATTTTTCATTCTGATGTTGGAGTTTTAATTTTTCTATACAATTATCTAGACAGTCGAAGTCGGCTTGTCATTTAATTAAAGTAATTTTTATATGTTATTTTACGTAACCTACATTAGTGTATATATTCTTTGCCTACATCTAAAAAGTTATTATTGTAAACCTCAGTAAGAACATTCCTATGCGGAAAAACAGGGTATTATTCAAGTATTGTTCGTAAAATTGGCTTGGTAAAAATGGGTTAGTTTCCAAAAAAAAAAAAAAAAAAAAACTAAAAAATTTCTATTTTCACACAACAGTATAAGCACACCGTAACTCTTGCTTTTACCTTACTACTTCATTATCTAGATTTACTTATCTGAGGTACCCGCAGCGCGAATGTTGGAAGTAGTCGGTGTACGCAATCGGCGGTCGACGGTCGTGGATCCCCGGACAGTTTGTAACTAATTGTTTAATCTGTGAGATTGCTGTGAATGAATTCGGTGTTGTGTAGACCGCGATAACGGTATTCCAGGGAGTGTGTGCACTTTCGAGGTGAGTGTATGCACAGAACACTACTTAAATATGTGTGTAAGCCCTTCTCGATTTATTTTGTGTTGCGATGTAATCCGAATGATGATACGGTACATATGTAGTTTGACGAATGCGTTCTCATTTTTAACATTTCACGTGCTATTGTAAGAGAGAGGAACGGTAATTGCATTTAAAAAGAAGCTATTACGTATCTGTGTTGCGCTGAGAGCATTTTACTCGCCCTCGTGTTATTTACTAAAAATTTTGTAGATTAAATGGAAAAGATAATATGTATAAAACATTTCAAGTTCATAACTGAGATGAAAATTTTAACAAAATCATAAATATGCTCAAAAGTACATTGTGTAGGTATATGTCTATTATATATATATATATATATATATATATATATATTTTTTTTATATCTAAGGGAAGGTATTAAGATGTTAGAAGCAGGTTAATTAAATGAATTGTTGATTGTTGTTTGTTGTGATTGTTGTTTGGTTCTCTTTGTGAAAATTTTACCCTAAATTAAATTATTTACTTAATATTACCGAATTATCTTAAACACGTATTAAATATTTATTGAATTTTCAGTTTTGTATACGATATACTTAGTTGGCATGAAGTGGCGACGTATTAGAATCTGCTACCCTAACTTCTTCCGTGGGTGTTCCGTGGGTGGACAGAGGGAAACTGAAACAGGAGATGGTCAGCAGCATCTTCCTGATAACAACTCAAAAGTGATAATAAAAATCTAAAAAACTACGGTTGTCATTCCGCTTGCCAACTATGGCATCCATGGTAAATGAGGCAATCATGGTGGCGGCCTATATTGCAGTGGACTTTTAATGGGCTGAAATGAAATTTAATGTACTTAAGTCACATATTTAAAAGTAGGTTTATGGGAATGGCGAACTTGACACAACTGTTGGCGTAGAAGGGAATCCTATCGGTAAACTAAATGCATTATTTAGTTTGCCGATAGGATTCAATTCTTCAAATAATCTTCCGGGCGGTCAATTTGATGCTTATTTCTAATATGAAACACAAGCCTATAGTTTGCCCAATTCGTTTCTTAGTTCGCTTGTAGGTCCGTCTGTTTGTTCGTTTGTCGGCCTGTTTGTTAGTGCTTTCGTTAGTATGTCTGATTAACCAACTAATTAAATGTATTTATCTAGAATAATTTCTTTGTAGTTCTTCATGATAATCAAAAGTACACATAAAGCATCATACTTATCATATCAAAAATACTAATTTTACGTGGACGGAGTCACGGGCAAGTTTTTAATGGAAAAAATTAAATACGAATATATATAGAATAATAATATTACATAGAAAAGTATTTAATAAGTTAAAAAATCGATAATTTAACTGCGTCCTGGTCTGTTATTAAACTGGCATCAATTAAATCATTTTTGATTTAAGAAGCCCTTTTTGACCAACGCAAATGTGTAACCTTATATGGGAAAGAGGGGAGTGACCAGTCTTGGCAAATATGGCACATTTGATGAAAAATATGTGGAAACGTCACCTCATATTTGCAGTTAGCCATGAACGAAGTAAAGTAATGCGTGGGAGCTACAAGTTTTATTTTTAAGTAAACATAATATTAATAGTGTAACAAGTGTGATATAATTGTTTGAACTTTTGGCGGTCAATGAATCGTCTTGCTTTTTATTATAATAATATATGTTATATTAACATGATATATCAAAATTGAGTATTTTTCACAATACTCACTAATAATTTTACTAAAATTTGATTAACTGGGATTCAATTTAAATGTTGTTTAAAAATGCTTGATAACAAAAAAAAATAATTATTTGACAAACACATTGAGCCTCGAGCACAGGCGCAGAGTAGCCAACCTCTCGGTATTCTGTAGGATGTATTTTGGATTGTGCGTAGAAATTTTGCTCTATCTCCTTTTCACCATCGAACAACGAGGCGGTCGGCGGGTCTTCATATTTTTGTTGTCGATATTCCATGAACTCGATCCAAGAGATTTGCTGCGTTGCATTTCGTGCGGAGGGACGTGGAAAAATTTGTCGGCGTCTGCCTTTCCGTACCATTACAATCTGGCTGTCTGAGACAAGATTGAAAAAAGGCTTTCGCTACGCTAATGCAGTGCGTTTGTCATCCTCACCACTTACCGCCAGGTGGAATTGTAGTCAATCACTGGCTTATAATAGGTAAAAAAAACAAAGAATAAGCAACATAATGTTATTTAGCCTCAAAGCCAAAAAAATAATAACGCAATTATTTTATTTTAAATTTTCTTCATCTTTTTAGTTATTTAGAACTAACTAACTTAGGATTAATTCTTATTGGTTAATATTTTAATTGTAAATAATCAATAAAATAATTTCATAAACTCATCTGTAGGGTTAGATTGTTATGGATTTGCTTTTCATTTTAGATCATAAAATAATATAATATATAAAATAATTATATAAAATTCATAACTTGTTTGTGTAAGATATATACATTAACGACGATTGTAATAAAGTATTACAATCGTTTACAATCGCCGTTATTTGGTGTCATCAGATCTTAGCCGTGGTAGCTCAGATGGTTATCGCTCGCTGTAAATATAACAGAACGCGAGTGACTCGGGATCGATCCCGCCGAAACTAATGAAATTGTTAATTGAAATTTTAAGTGCTGATTTACTATGTGCTCGGCGGTGAAGGAAAACATCGTGAAACCTGCATGTCTGAGGAATAAGAAAAAAAATATTTCGAAGACATGTGAAGTCCGCTAACACGCCTTGAGGCTGCGTGGCGGACACTTCCTTGCCCTAAAACCCTCTTAGAAATGAGAGGAGGCCTGTGCCCAACAGTGGGACGTAGGTTGGGAATGGGTTGTAACTTTACTTTACAGATCTTAGCTATCAGTCACAGCCTTGCGTTTACAGGTTTACAGCTAGCTTAGTCGGTCTCAGAGTCAACTCTCATTGCTTTTAACGACTGCGAGCTTCAAATGTACCACCGTGTAGTGTTGGTGTGATAATATCCCCCACCTCATAATATTGTCCCGTGGATGCGGTAAGAGGCGATAGAGGAACAAATTAGGAGATGGGCAGCAGCACCATCCTAGTAACGACTAAAGATAAAAATAAACTGCGGTTGCTGGTCCCCCAGCTGTTAAACATGGTAACTGGGACAAATATCCAGTTTATGAGACAGTCTGAAAGGAAGCCTATATTCAGCAGTAGACTTTAATAGCAGGTTTGTACTGGATGGATAGATAATTAATTGTACCCACATATGAGTATTAATTAATTAACTTGTATTGGTAATCCATTATACTTACATATTATTTATAGCTCCCTTGTAAAAGTACCGGCCTTCGCCCTTAGAATTTGAAAGGTTAGGTAAATATTTAGGTGTTCAACCTTTTGCCGAGTCACGCGATTACTTTGAAAACTATTTTTGTCTCAAAGAATTATTTTATAAGTTGCAAGATATTTAACGTTCTATAATTTCGGTATAATTTTTCTATTTGTATTTATTTATTTGTGTTTGCCATTGCTATAAAAGTTACAATTATCGATGTTATCTAAAGGCGTTCTTTACTGCTTCTTCGGAATTGAAATTTATGCCTATCAAAACTTCTAAAAAAGTGGGAGTCTGTTGGGCAAGAGTTTATATTGAGCTTAGTTTGATGATTTTATCAACGTCTGGTGTGCAGTATGTGAAAGGGAATTTACATGAAGAAGCAATGCCAAATAGCAGTTAACAAATCTGAGTTTGAGTGCTAGCTTCACAGAAAATAGCACTATTAGTAAACCATGAAACTCCGTAAGCTTCTTCTCATTAGCTTCTTCTGACTTATGTTTTATTTCCAGCACTTTTTGTCTTGGGAACCTGAATCTAACCACTGTGATCAACGCTTGATCCACTTATCATCGTTGTTGACAATACCATCTAAAATAGTCAATGCCGATTCAGCAATACGATGCAAATTTGGACTCTGGTTGCGGGCCACTCGCCGTACGTCACCCAGTTAGTGAGGTTCCCATTTGTCAAAGTTCTTTGTTTTACCGATTTGCCGCAAATGATCTGATATTGTTTTAAAAAGTACATCAGCAGCTAAATCTAGCTCAGTCGTAGTTTTAGACGGATCCGTTTCCACTATCGCCTTTAGTTTTCTTTCTCGTCTTTGTCATTATCAACTTTCTTCTACGGGCGGCCGCGAGGTTTATTTATGAGGTATGTTTTACGAACGAAAGTGACTGACTCGTGTTTCCATGTCGGTACACATATTTAAAAATAAGACGTATTTTCATATAGTTACAAATATAGAGAAATTGTAGAAAAATGATGTTCAAATTATTTTTCAACTCTCCATTTCACATTTCGTTCCTCCAGACTCAATAGAATAGAATAGATAGAATAAAATAGTAGAGTGAGAGAATAGAGAGTATTCTCTCTTTTTCTCTCATTCTCATATTTCCACGAGTGCTTTTTGAGGCATTTGGCGAAACACCGCCAACTTTCTGAGACTCCAGACTTCAACTGAGAATTTTTTGACAGAAAAACCGAATGACTGATTTTGGCTCGACCCGGGATTCAAACCATGTACCACAACATGTTCAGAAGTTGCCTTTACGACCACTAGACCAACAAGGCGATAATCTACGAGGCCACCTTGGTCTAGTGGTTGATGTAGTGCGACTGCTGATCATGAAGTTCTGGGTTCGAATCCCTGGTCGGGGCAAAAATAATCAGTTATTGAGTTTTTTCGTCAAAAAATTCTCAGTAGCTGCCCGGAGTCAGGAAGTTGGCAGTGTTTCATCTCCGTGTCTTGGAAACCATGTCAAGCCGTTGGTCCTGCACCTGATCTCTCTCCGGTCGTGTCGGTTTACCGTCCCATCAGATTATGAGAGTAAGGGAGTGGAGAGTGCACCTGTGCTTGCGCATACACTTGGGCACTATTATCCTGTCCTGCGCCGATGGCTAGTGTCCGTTGAGGCTGGCCGCCGTGACCGAAATTCGGTCTGAAGGACATTACTG